GACTAATACCATGGGTTTTCCTGGCAGTCCACCTTGCAAACAGCAGACTGTGGGACTTCTCAGCCCCCATAGTCATGTGAGCTGATTCTTACCACAAATCTTCTCTCTTTGTTCTGTTTCTCCGGGGAATCCTAATACAGTCATTATGAGGAATGGTTCCAAAAGGAGCGTTTGATGATGAGAATCTTAGTTATGTCACAAGAAGAGGTTACTTCTGACTGTGGCCTATCCCCACTGTTCTCAGCCCAAAGCCTCTACTTTGGAGAGGAGACAAAGGAAGAGCAGCTGGGATGAGAATCAATCACTGCAGTCCTATGCAAATTAAGCTGTCATTTTTTTTTTTTTTTTGGCTGACAAAATATAACCAGCTAACCATTCTACCAAATAGATATGCTTCTCAAAGGTGCTAACCACTCTATTATCTCTATTCCCGCCTCTGATTTAAGAGCCTCAGATGCTAGTTTATAGTTTACATTTCAATGAGATCTCAGATCAATTCCAACATGTCAGAAAATCCAATAAGAGAGACACTGAAATTTATGTGTTTATTTAAAGCTTGCTGATAAACAATTACATACATCTTACTTATAATCAGCTACTACGGTTTAGAAGTTACTAGCCACAGGAGGTTGTGGGTGATTTTTTTTTTGAAATAGAAAAATAAATTAAGGTCCCTGCAACTTGTAGTATGTCTGACAGTCCAAGATGAGAAGCCATGAAACAGGGGCAGGCAAGGTTTGCTGTTGTCATGCATGTGTGTTTTCTTCGCTTCAGCAAATGAAGAGCAGAGCTGAGAAATGGTCAGTCAACCAGTAGCTATTTCCTGATATCTATATTGTATAAAGCTATACTCACGGGCTATGCAGAAGTTCAAGGCAGCACCCTTTCAGGAAGCTGAATACCCACCTGAAAATCAGGCGAACACCACTAGACAGAATGTGCTAATTTTCAAAGGAACATCAGATAGCAGGTGTTGTTGGAGCTCGGGGGACAAAGATATGTGCCTGGACTGGGTGACCAGGGAAGGATCCCCAGAGAGGGTGGCATTTAATATGAGTCTTGAGAATGGGTAACACTGGGGACAGAGGGGATAAGAAGATAGGGCTTGAGGGGAGGTAAAGGCCAGAATGTGAGGAATTGGAATACCTCTCTTTCTCTGGATCTGAAGTAATGTTCTAATAGGCACTGACCTAGAGTACTTTATAGCATGACTCCACCCTGGAAGGTACTCTGGGGGGAACTTCAGAAGCCTCCTTCACTCCTTCAGCTTCTGAGACACCCTTGGGTACCACATAGTCTTTGTATACTAAATGGCTCCCTGGTGCCTTCAGTGAGGGAATAGGAAAGTAAGTAAGATACCAACCATCCCTAACATAGGTAGACATCAACTAGGAATTCCACGTTCCCCTCTCTCTTCATCAATTCTCAGGATGAAAACAATGAGAAGCCAAGAGAAGAAACAATTTCACAAAGTGTTTCCTCAAGCACAAGAAACAAACTAAGCAAAACACCAAGAGTTTGGTGCCAGCACTGCAAGGAGAAATGTCATGCACTCCATTGAGCAGCTGTTCTTTACCAGATGCTCAGCTAGGCCCTGAGGACACAGCAGTGAACAAACCAGACAGGGTCCTATTGAGGAAGGCAGATATTAAACAAGGAGAGATATAGAGGAAAAGTTTAGGGAGCTATAAGAGCCTACAACAGTGGAGTCAGGGGACTGTCTGTCTGAGGGAGGGGCTCTAGGTTGAGATATAAAGGACCAGAGAGTATTAGCCAACTGACAAGAGGGTGCCATGGAGAAGACCCTTGCCCTTCATCCATTCTCCACCCTCGCTGCTGGAAACACTCCTTTAAATGACAGCTTTTTCTCACAATGACTATGGTCTCTAACTAATTTCTTGAAGACTGATACAGTCTATGCAGATAAGGTGAGTCTGCAAATATTTTTCTCTTCACAATGCATAAGCATCTTCCAGATCCCGAGATGTAGGTCAGTTGACAGGTTCTGAGTGTTTGCAGATGCCATAAAGAGGCTTTTCATATGGTTTGGTTTGCAGTTAGCCTTGGACAGTGTTTACTTAAAACTACCAGTGACCTTTAAGCTGTCAAATATAGTGTCTTTGTCCTCAGGCCTCATCCTCTTCCACACTGTGGGTCACTGTTCTGAAATTCTGCCTTCCTTGGTTTCCATGACACTAAATTACTCTTGTTCAAACTCTCTGGCTAGTTCTTTCCTATTTGCTGTTCCTTGCACTGTGTCAGTTGGAATTAGGTTTGGCTGCAAGCAACAGAGACACATAATGACAGTGGCTTAAATAAGATAGAAATTCAACTCTTCTTCATGTCAAAGCCTGGGGATCAACAGTTCAGGGCTCGTATGGTGGATTCACAAAGTCATTTAGAGACCTGGTCCCATGAAACAGTAGTCTCTACTGTTTCATCCTTAGAGTGTGGCATCCATACTCGTGGTCCAAGGAGGCTACTTTAACTCCAGCCTTTCACATCAGACTTCCAGGAAGCAGGATGGAACATGGGACAAAAAAATAAGACAATAGAGACACGCCAAATGTCTATTAGGACAGGCTTCTGGAAGCAATTACATGACTACTATTCTCAAATCTCTTAGACAAAACGTAGTCATGTGGCAATACCTAGTGACAAGGGAAGCTGGGATATACAGTCTTTATAATAATAAACAATAAATAATATAATAATAAATAATCCTGCACCCAACTAAAAATGTGGGTTCTGTTCTTCTTCTTGGGAAGAAGGTGAGAATAGATAATAGTGGACAACCCCTGGTCTCTGTGCATACCATAGATGTCCTCACCACGAGAGATTCTGACTTGGTCCTCTCTCTTTATAGCCCCACACTTGCCAGTTCAAAAAAAAATTTTTTTAATTCTACATATAAGTGATACCACACAGTATTTTTCTCTCTGTGTCTGGTTTATTTCATTATTGAGCAAATGTCCTCAAGGCTTATCTGTGTTGTTGCAAATGGTAGGATTTTTTCCTTTTTTATGGCTAAATAATATTCTATTGTATATATGTGTGTGTGTGTGTGTGTGTGTGTGTGTGTGTGTGTGTGTGTCTCACATTTTCTTTATCCATTCATCCATTGATGGACAGTTAAGTTGTTTGTATTATCTTGGCTACTGTGAATAATGCTGCAATGAACATGGAAGGCAAATAGCTTTCCAAGATACCAGTTTTATTTCCTTTAGATACATATCCAGAAGTGGGATTGCTGGATCATAGGGTAGTTCTATTCTTAATTTTTGGAGGAAATTCCATACTATTTTCTAGAGTGGCTATACCAATTTGTATTCTCCCCAACAGTGTACAAGGACTTCCTGTCTTCCACATCCTCATCAACATTTATTTCTTATCTTTTTGATAATAGCCACTCTAACAGATGCAAGCTAATATCTCTTGGTAGCTTTGATTTGCATGTTGTTGATGATTAGTGATAAGGAGCACGTTTTTATATTCCTGTTGCCCATTTGTATGTCACCTTTGGAGAAATGTCTATTCAGATCCTCTGCCCATTTTCTCATTGGGTTTTTGGGTTTGGGTTTTTGTCAGTGAGCTATATAAGTTCCTTTTATATTTTGGATATTACCTCTCATTAAATATATGGCTTGCAAATATTTTCTTTTATTCCATAGGTTGCCTTTTCATTTTGTTGATAGTTTCCTTTGCTGTTCAGTAGCTTTTTACTTTAATATAGTCCCACTTATTTTTGCTTTTGTTGCCTATGCTTTTGGTGTCATGCCCCAAAAAATCATTGCCAAGACCAATGTCAAGGAGTTTTACCTATATTTTTTTCTAGAGATTTTATGGGTTCAGGTCTTACATTTAAGTCTTTAACCCATTTCAAGTGAGTGTTTATAAGTGGTGTAAGATAGGGGTTCAGTGTCATTTTTTTGCATATAGATATCCAGTTGCCCCAACACCATTTATTGAGGAGACGACCCTTACCCTATTGTGTGTTCTTGGTACCCTTGTCAAAGATTAGTTGACCATATATGTGTGGATTTTATTCTGGGTTCTCTATTCTGTACCATTAGTATATATGCCTGTTTTTATGTCAGTACTATATACTGTTTTGATTACTGTGACTTTGTAATATCGTTTGAAATCAGCTTTGCTGTTCTTTCTCAAAATTGCTTTGACTATTCAGAGTCCTTTGTTGTTCCACGTGAATTTTAGGATTGTTTTTTTCTATTTCTGTGAAAATGCCTTTGGAATTTTGATGCCTTTGGAAATGTGTGTTGAATGTATAGATTGCTTTGGATAACATGGATATTTTAACAATATTAACTCTTCCAAATCAAGAACACAAATTATCTTTTCATTTATTTGTGCTTTCTTCAGCTTTTTTCCCTCAATATCTCATGGGTTTTGATTAAATTTATTTCTAAGTCTCATTGTCTTTGATGCTACTGTAAATGAGATTTTTTTCTTAATTTTTTTTCAGGTAGTTTGTATAGAAATGCAAATTATTTTTGTATCCTAACTTTGTATCCTGCAACTTTAGTGAATTTGTTTACTAGTTCTACCAGGATGGGGGGGGGGGGTGTGGAGTCATTAGGATTTTTTATAAGATCATGTCATCTGCAGAGACAATTTTACTTCTCTCTTTCTTATTTGGGTGCCTTTTACAGGCAGACCTTATTTTATTGCACTTCACTTTATTGCACTTCATAGAAAATTCATTTTTTTACAAATTAAAGGTTTGTAGTAACCTTGGATCCAGCAGGTCTATTGGCACCATTTTCCACTTCACCACCATTTTCCACCATTTACTCACTTCATATCTCGATGTCATATTTTGGTAATTCTCACAATATTTTAAATTTTTTCATGATTATTATATTTTTTATGATGATATATGATCAGTGATCTTTGATACTATGACCATAATTGTTTTGGGGTGCCATGTAAGATAGCAAACTTAATCAATAAATGTTGTATGTGTTCTGATGCTCCACCAACCTGCTGTTCCCCCAACTTGCTCCTCCTTCTCAGGTCTTCCTATTCCCTGAAACACAACAATATTGAAATTAGGCCAATTAATGACTCTTCCTCTAAGTGTTTAAGTGAAAGGAAGGGTCACACATCTGTTACTGTAAATCAAAAGCTAGAAGTGATTAAGCTTAGTGAGGAATGAGTGTTGAAAACTAAAAGAGGCCAAAAGCTGGGCCTCTTGTGCTAAGCAGTTAGCCAAGCTGTGAATGCAAAGAAAGAGTTCTTGAAGGAAATTAAAAGTGCTAATCCAGTGAATACGTGAATAATGAAAGAGAGATTGAGGATATAGGGAAAGTTTTAGTGGTCTGGATAAAAGATCAAATAGGCCACAACATCCCTTTAAGCCAAAACCTAATCCAGACCAAGGTCCTGACTCTCGTCAATTCTGTGAAGGATGAGAGAAGTGAGGAAGCTGCAGAAGAAAAGTCTGAAGCTAGCAGAGTTTGGTTCATGAAGTGTAAGGAAAGAAGCCGTCTCCGTAACACCAAAGTTCAGGGTGAAGCAGCAAGAGCTGATGTAGAAGCTGTAGCAAATTATCCAGAAGATTTAGCTATGATAACTAATAAAGGTGGCTACATCAAACAATAGATTTTGAATGTAGATGAGATAGCCTTCTGTTGGAAGAAGATGCCATCTAGGATTTTCATAGCTAGAGAAGAGAAGTCAATGCCTGCCTTCAAAGCTTCAAAGGATGGGCTGATTCTCTCATTAGTGTCTAATGCAGTTGGTGACTTGAAGCTGAAGCCAATGCTCATTTATTATTCTAAAAATTCTAGGGCCCTTAAGAGTTATGCTAAGTCTACTCTACCTGTGCTCTATAAATGGAAGAAAGCTTGGATGAGAGCACATCCATTTACAACATGGTTTACTGAATACTTTAAGGCTACTGTTGAAATCTACAGCTCAGGCAAAAGAAAAAAAAATTCTTTCAAAGTATTCCTGCTCATTAATTATGCACGCATGTGGTCATGCAAGAACTCTGATGGAAATGGACAATGAGATTAATGTTTTTTCAATGCCTGCTAACACAACATCCATTCTGCAGCCCAGAGATCAAGAGTAGTTTTGACTTTTAAGTCTTATTACTTAAGTAATACATTTTGTAAGGCTACAGCTCCCATAGATAGTGATTCCTTTGACAGATATGGAGAAAATAAATTGAAAACCTTCTGGAAAGGACTTTGCCATTCTTGATGCCATTAAGAACATTTGTGATTCAGGGGAAGAAGTCAAAATATCAATGTTAATGGGAGTTTGCAAGAAGTTGATTCCAACCCTCATGGATGATTCTGAGGGGTTCAGGACTTCGGTGGAGGAAGTAACTGCAGATGTAGTGGAAATAGCAAGAGAACTAGAATTAGAACTGGACCCTAAAGATGTGACTGAATTATTGGAATCTCATGATAAAATTTCAGTGAAAGAAGAATTGCTTTTATGGATGGTCAAAGAAAGAGGTTTCTTGAGATAAAATCTGCTCCTGGTGATGATGCTGTGAAGACTGTTGAAATGACAACAAAGGATTTAGAATATTACACAAACTCAGTTGATAAAGCAGTGACAAGGTTTGATAGGCTTGACTCCGATTCTGAAAGATGTACTGTGGGTAAAAGGCTATCAAACAACATTACATGCTATAGTGAAATCATTCATGAAATGAAGAGTCTTGGATGTAGCAAACTTCATTGTTGTCTTATTTTAAGAAATTGCCACAGCCGCCCCATTTCCAGCAACCACCACACTGATCAGTCATTAGCCATCAGCATAGACCCTCCACCAACAAAAAGATTATAACTTACTGAAAGCTCAGAGGAAAGTCAGCATTTTTTTTTTACCAATAAAGTATTTTTAATTAAGGCATGTACATGGATTTTTTAGGCTCATTGATGTTGTACACTTAATAGACTACAATAAAAATAACTTTTATTTGCACTGGAAAAATTGATTTGACTTGCTTTATTGCAATATTCACTTTATTGTGATGGTCTGGAAACAAACCCACAGTACCTCTGAGGTATGCCTGTATTTGTTTTTCTTGCCTAGTTGCTCTGACCAGGATGCCAGTACTATGTTGAATATAAATACAAAAGTAGACATTCTTGTCATGTTCTTCATCATAGAGGAAAAACTTTCAGCTGTACACAATAGAACAGGATTTTGGCTGTGGGCTTGTCATATATTGAGTTTATTATGTATATTCCTTCTATACCTCATTGTTGAGAATTTTTATGATGAAAAATTGTTGAATTTTTGTCAAATGCTTTTTTTGCATCTATTGAGATGATCACATGATTTTTTAATCCTCCATTCTGTTTATGTGATGTATCTTATTTATGTATTTATGTATTTATTTATTATTTTTAAGTAGATTCCATGCCAACATGGAGCTCAATATGGGACTTCAACTCACAACCCTGAGACTAACACCTGAGCTGATATCAAGAGTCAGATACTCAACCAACTGAGCCACCCAGTACCCCTCTATCACAATTATTAATTTACATATATTGAACCATCTTTGCATCCCCGAATAAGTCCTAATTGATTGTGGTGTATGATACTCTTTTTTTTTTAAATTTTTTTCAACGTTTATTTATTTATTTTTGGGACAGAGAGAGACAGAGCATGAACGGGGGAGGGGCAGAGAGAGAGGGAGACACAGAATCAGAAACAGGCTCCAGGCTCCGAGCCATCAGCCCAGAGCCTGACGCGGGGCTCGAACTCACGGACCGCGAGATTGTGACCTGGCTGAAGTCGGACGCTTAACCGACTGTGCCACCCAGGCGCCCCAGTGGTGTATGGTACTCTTAACGTGGTGTTGAATTTTGCTGATACTTTGTTGAAGATTTTTGCATGTATGCACATGAAGAATATTGGCTTGTAATTTTCTTATAGTGGCCTTGTCTGGCTTTAGTATCAGGATAATTCTGCCCTCATAAAGTGATTTTGGAAGTATTCCCTTCTCTTCAACTTTTGGGAAGAGTTTGAGAAGGATTAGTGTGGATTCTTTTTTAAAGGCAAAATGTAAATAATTAAATTATTTCCCACATTCCCTCTTTGTTTTCCTGTGTGTGTTTCCTACTTTTTTTTATTATTTACTTTTTAATTTACATCCAAGTTAGTCAGCATATAGTGCAATAATGATTTCAGGAGTAGAATCCAGTGATTTATCCCCTACATATGACACCCAGTGCTCACCCAAGAAGTGTCTTCCTTAATGTCCCTTGCCTTTTTAGTCCATCCACCCCACCCAACTCCCTCCAGCAACCCTCAGTTTGTTTTCTATAGTTACAAGTCTCTTTTGTTTCGTCCTCCTCCCAGTTTTTATATTATTTTTGTTTCCCTTACCTTATGCTCATCTGTTTTGTACCATAAATTCCACATATGAGTGAAGTCATATTAATTTGTCTTTCTCTGACTAATTTTGCTTAGTATAATATACTCTAGTTCCATCCATGTTGTTGCAAACAGCAAGATTTCATTCTTTTTGATCACTGAGTAATACTCCATTGTATATATATATACCACATCTTCTTTATTCATTCATCTGTCGATGGACATTTGGGCTCTTTCCATACTTTGGCTATCATCAATAGCGTTGCTATAAACATTGGGGTGCATGTGCCCTTTCAAAACAATACACCTGAATCCTTCGGATAAATACCTAGTAGTGCAATTGCTGGGTTGTAGGGTAATTCTATGTTTAATTTT